GCCCCTACAACCACTACAGCCCCTACAACCACCACAGCTCATACAACCACCACAGCCCCTACAACCACTACGGCCCCTACAACCACCACGGCCCATGCAACCACCACAGCCCATACAACCACCACAGCCCCAACAACCAACACGGCCCATACAACCACTACAGCCCCAGCATCCACCACAGCCCCTACAACCACTGCAGCCCCTACAACCACCACAGCCCCTAGTAGTACTTTGGTGGATTCTTGATGGTTATCTGTACATAGTATCATGTCATCTGCAAATGACAGTTTTACTTCTTTTTCAATTCAAATGCCATTTTTATCTTGCTGATTGCTTTGGCTAGGACAGGTGAACCTTTTGAGCTCGGCGTCTCAGCATTTTGAAAAACCCTAACTTAACTCTGGTGCCGTGTCACATATAGAAATTTTTTTATCTTTGCAACCATAGTAAAACAAAGACTTATATTTTTGATATTTATTTTATATATTTAAATGCCATTTAACAAAGAAAAATCAACCAAAAAGATGAGTTTGCGTGTCATCTCTGACATGGTTCGCCATCACTGGGCTAGGACTTACAGTGCTATGGTGAATAAAAGTGGTGAAGGTGGACATCGTTGTTGCATTGAGTATGATGTTAACTGTGGGTTTGTCATATATAGTCTTTATTATGTTGAGGTCTATTCCCTCTAGCCCCACTTTGCTGAGATAAATGTATGTATTTTGTCAAATGCTTTTCCTGCATCTATTGATATAATCACATGATTTTTATTCTTCATTTTGTTTATGTGGCGCATCATGTACGTTTATTGTGGATATTGAACCAACCTTGCATCCCAGGAATAAATTCCTCTTGATTATAGTGTAATCATCTTTTTAATGTATTGCTGAATGCAGCTTGTTATTTTGTTGAGTATTTTTACATCTGTATTCTTCAGGTATGTTAGTCTAAAATTTTCTTTTTTGGGTAATATCTTTGTCTGATTTTGGTATCAGGATACTATTGGTCTTATAAAATAAGACCCTCCTCTTCATTTTTTTAATAATAGTTTGAAAAGGATAGGTATTAATTATTCTTTGAATGTTTGGTAAAATTCACCTTTGAAACCATTTGGTTCAGGGCTTTTGTCTGTTGAGAGGTTTTTGGTGACTGATTTGATTTTTATAGTAGTTACCAGTCTGTTCAGATTTTCTCTTTCTTCCTGATTCAGCCTGGAAGATCGATGTCTTCCAGGCTGTATAATTTGTTGGCATTGTTTAATTGTTTGTGGTATTTCCTGATAATTCTTTGTCTTTTTATGGTGTTTGTGATCATGTATCCTCCTTTCTGATTTTATTTTGGTTCTTTTTCTTGTTTCTTTATGAGTCTGGTTAAAGGTTTATCACTTTTGTTTATCTTCTCAAAGAACCAGCTCTTGGTTTCATTGATCTTTTCTAGTGCACATTCCAGTGACAAGCCAGGCCGCCCCCCGAGCAGCAGGCACCGCTGCAGGCGCAGAGAAGACAGCCCTCCGCGCCTCCCGGGACACCGCCCTGCCAGCTGCTG